GCTAAATGACTGTGTGCTTTCTATGCACCACCACAAAGTAAGAGGAGGTTTTGTGTTAGTGTCAGAATTAACATTCACACTTTCACCGCTTGGAATTGGATGTCTTAATATTCTTTTACTGTTTACAATTACTTGATTTAAACAGTGAAGTGAGATACCATATGCTGGGTGGACCTTTGAAAGCTGGAAGAGGAAGTGATCTGGTTTTGAAAATTGTTTTTTGCTTTACGTACCTGTTTATTTGGTAAAGCAAAGATCAAAACAGTGGAACTCCTCAGTTCTCTTGCTCTGTTGCTTACAAACAAAGAACATGTGGACTAATCCTTTGTGGAAGGTACACTTTAATAATTTCAAGTCCATGAGGTGAAGAAACTGGCTAAGGAATTTTTCCATGTCTTGGGTCGTAAGAATCAGGGATGACTTTCATATTAAGTGCAGATACCAAGTTAGTGGTGTTCTTTTATGCTAATATTACTTCCCAATTACAGTTTCAGTTTCGGGGCAGTCTCCAGAAAGTATAAATATTAAGAAGGGAGATATGTATATAATTTTTGTCACTATCTAATACATTGATAATGCTGCTACAGTATGCTTTGGATACGTCTTCTTGTTTATTAACACAGTTGACTGAAAATTGTTCTGCTTCTGGTTCTTGATCACTTCTGGATAAGTGTTATTTCTGTCACTGAAATATAATTGAATTTTTGTGCATGAATTTTGAATGTTAAATTGAAAGTATTTTACTTGGGAGATAACCCCTAACAAGCTTGTAGCATCAGCGTTTGAAAAGACAAGGTTCTGTAGTTTCTTTGTTTATGAAAATGTCTCACACAGTGAATGTAATAAAGGACAGTTAATTACAAATTGTTATATCTAACATTTTTAATTACTGATTTAATGATACAGTATTCTCTTGGGCTTTTTTCTGAAACTTCAATTTATATTTTAGAGGATCAGAGCCATGTATTCCAGTCTCGGAGAACTCGAGATTTTGTCGTGCTTGGAGCTTGGTAAATGCCTGTAGGAAGGACGCCCCAGCCCTGTTCAAGTGATAGTTGTAAAATATCTCAATTTGGTAGGGACCCATAAGGATCATTCTGTACAGAAACAATCAGAAGGGGAAGGTGATGGCTCACACAGCCTCATGGTGTCTGAATGGCACCGTCTGAGAAGAGTTCAGAGCTTATGCAGGTTCATGTATGTGCTGACTGCAATCCCAATCCAAGGACACAGAGAAAATTATCTTGTTAAAAAGCTGAAGTTGAGAGCAGTGTTTTTTATTTTCCTGAGGAGAGTGGTTGGTAGGCTGGACAGAGCTTCTACTCAGAGGGATCTTGATGGGATGGAGATGGACTGACAGGAACCTCGTAAGTTCCAGCAAAGGAAACAAGAAAGCCCTGCGTCTGGAATGGAGTAGCCTGATGACTGGAACAGGCTGCGGGAAGACTTGATGGAGAGCAGCCTTGCAGAAAAGGACCTCTGTGTTGTGGTGGACCACATGATGAGTATGAGTCTGAGGGTGCTGTTGCAGCGAAGGACAGCCACATTGTGGGCTGAATTAGTAAAGGGGGCTGAGGTACAGCAGGCCAAGGGAGTGACTCTTCCCCTCTGTGTGGCACCTGTGAGACTAGCAAGGTGGTTAGGAGGCTGCAGCACATGACATTCAAGGAGAAACAGAGAGGTGGGTTTGTTCAGCCTTAAGAGAAGGTGGAGGAAGGGGAGGTCGCAGTGAGGTGGGTGGGAAGGTAGAGAACCAGGCTCCTCCTGGAGGTGCGCTACAGTGAGATGAGAGGCAATGGACACAAGCTGGTTTAGTGACAAGTAAGGTTGTTTTGGTTTTGGTTTGTTTGTTTTTAACCTGGAGAATGGTCAAACACTGAAGGAGGAGTCTAGTGAGTGTATGGAGCATCTATCTGTGGAGGTGTTAGAACTTGACTGGACAAGGGCCTGTGCAACCACCTCTAATTCAGCTTGTGCTGGATGGCGTAGGAAAATCCTTCCCAACCTAAACTGTCCTGTTATTATTCTGCGATTGCTCAAAAAACAGGCATGATGGCTTTAGAAATTAATTGTTAAAGTTATGCTTAGGATGACACAAACCTGATAAAGTATGCAAGAACCTCACATTTCCTTGAAATTGCATCTGGAACGAACATACGGTCATCACAAAAACTTGTAATGTCAGTTTTATTTACCATATTGTGTAAACTTAAAAGAAAAGTAAGACCTTGCATGTTTTCTTATTGGTAATTTATGGCTTAGAATTTTTGTTACAGAAGCTACTAGACTGTTTGAAAGAATGTTAAGCAGGAGACCTGATGAGAGTGTAAGGAGTTTTTATATTTCTTTCTTCATTTTTCACACTTACTGTGCAGTGAATTTTAGGGAGCAGTGTCTTAAACAGATGCATAGACGCTGACATGAAGGCTAGTTTACTGTCTAGGAATTTTTAAGGAGAAAAAAATTACTGTCCAGAGTGCCGCATGCAACCAAATCTTTGAATTTAAACCTGTTGCTTATTCAGATCACCTACTCAAGACATAGGGCCTTTGGTTACATTAACTCTGCTTTCACAGTGGTCTGGCTTAAAAGTCATCTAAACTGTCAGTTTTGACTATTACCGATCTCTAGATGTCATTGAAGGTTAAGGACAAAATTGTGATGGATTTGGCTTAGTCTCTCCTGTATTTGTTGTAAGACAGAATGGGCTGTGGGTTTCTGTGAGTTCACCTTGGGTGATAAGTTTGAAGAATTTGTGTCATCGCTCCTTCAGGATGATTCAGTATTAAAGAAAAGCATGACATGGCTGCTAAATATCTTTAAGGAACCAACTTTTAATAAATTCTAGCTCATAAACTCGTGGATTAGCATGTAAGCTGTCAGGAAATTAAATGTATATTCAAAGAGGAGGTACTGCAGTTTGGAGTTTGATGATTTTTGTCTTTTGCTCATTGCAAAAATAATCTGGTCTAGGCTCAAAATGGAGTTCAACTGAGAGATACAAGTGTCTCTTTCAAAAGTGTTAGGGACCGTAGTGAACAAGGTGTAATGAACCAATGTGTTTTTTATCATCTGGCATTTAAGCTACTGTTTTTAGAACGGTGGAAAGAGTAAGTCAACAGAAAAGGATTAAAATTCTTTTTGCATCCAGTGAAATGTGCAACCACCCACTGCATGTTTGTTTGCAGATTTGGACAAAGGCCTATTAGTATTAAATGCATTGGGTTAGAAAGGGATTTGTAAGACTACTTGATAGTATATCTCTATGATTTGGAGCAGGGATGATTTAGCAATGACTGCAAAGTCAATTGATGAAATATGTTCCTTCTGAGGTTCTGAAAAAGGAAAAGGTGTGTCAGTGGTAACTATGCAGTGAAACCGTATAGATTGACTCCCCTAACTTGTTCTTCTGTCAGTAAATGCTCCATTTCCCACAGTTTTCAGTTTCTTTGTTGGATGGGATAGATAAAGGAGAGTCTTCTCTTAGCATTGTTTTCTTCAGAAAAACACAACATAGTTTTATTTGCAGCTGTGTTGGAAAATGTGAGTAATCTGGGACTATTTTCCTCTAGAAAACCAGCTTCCCTTCGCCAGAAGCGCTTTCAGCTTTCTCCCTGGCCTGATGGAAGATGCTTACCGCTTGGGTCCTTTGAAGGTGAGGGAGATTTGTGCATATCCACCCTGCAGCCTACAAGTGAGGGCTGTGGCTGAACTTTCAGCGGGTCAGTTGAAGACCCAGTGCCACCAACTGGTGTGTCTGCCTTTGAGTTCTCTCTGCCTGCAGGGATCGCAGGTCTCAGAGAAACCTCAGCGCTCTCCCTCCTCACTTTCACACCATAGCTGGATGTGAGAAAAATAATGTCTAATTTCACTGTTTGGCTGCATGAAAAACAGGAAGGTTTTTTTAACGTGCTGTCTTCTGCTGTGCCTCATCTGTAACAGGAGGGTTATGCTAGTTTAATTATTTTACATTAGTTTGGTTACTGGAAGAGGAAAATGAGGGAAAGCCTTCCGATGCAGTTGCTGTTGTAGTACAGGTACTTTCTTATAACCGAGTCAGCACGTGCCTTTTTACTGACACTTGTGACAAAACTTTCTCGTACTTATCTGCAATTCAGCTTTTTGTTTTTGTTAAAAAAGGAGTACACAGAATGAAAATCTCATTTAAATAATTTCTGTTTATACAGTATTAAAACTGCAAAATAGTTTTTTCTTGCCCCTCGTGTGCATTCTGCTTAATGGAATTCCTTTATATTACTGATATGTTCTGTAGATAAATGATGTTATATACAGTTCTACATATCTTTCTTTTAGAGAAGTGAAACTTCAAAGTTATGTTTTATGGGTATGCAGGGAACAGAATTCAGACTGCTTATGTACCAGTCCTGCAAATATTTCAGCAACCTGTTTAAAACCCCTTGTTAGGCGATGCCTTAGTCGTTTTCAGTAGAGGACAAATGCAACGTGGAGTGCAAATCTTAATTCAGGAGCTCTTAATCTTCCTAGGAAATGGACTTCCAAAATTAATTTTATTTTGGTGTCTTTTCAGGACGCTTTACAATTTTTAAGATGCTTCAGAATGTAAATTGGCAAAACTTGAACTCTGATCAAGCAAAGCATCTAATTGGAAGTTTCTTTCAAAGGCTTCCATCTATCATTATGCTGCAAAGCATGTTTGCATCTGCCTTAATTATTTAGCTCATTTTTTTTCTTAGTGCTAAGTTTTATCTATGAAAATTGATCCCCAAGGCCTGAAAATAAATGGAAATAATAATTTAAATGCAAATAGAGTACCCAGATTTTAAGCAGTTAATACTGCTCAAATGTGGTTTTGGAATAGATGTGATTATTAGAAAGACTGATTTACCTTATTTTGCTTTCTTTTAAAAAGTGATTCTAGATTACTGTAGTTTTATAAGTCTGTAATTCTTTGGTTTTCAGGGATTTCTACCTTGGTGAAGGTATATTGGACAAGTGTTGACTTGAAAACTGCTTTTAGGATGTCAGAAGATGACGAAAAAGTTAAACTCCGTCGAATTGAACCTGCCATTCAGAAATTCATTAAAGTGGCAATTCCAACGGATTTGGAAAGGTTAAGAAAACACCAAATAAATATTGAGAAGGTTAGTGTTCAGTGTTTACTAACGTAGTTCTTTTTACAGTATAGAAGCAGTCACCCTGGAAGATTATGTAGAGATTTTGATGACAAGTTGGTTATGAAATGCCTTAATTCAATTTGTCTGAAAATGAAGCTTCTGTATTGTCTGGTACTTCAGTGTGTACAAAGACCTTTACCTTTGTAGTAACTAGTCAGTCTACAGAGTGAGAAACGTTACTGTTTTGTGTTAAAAACTTATTGTAAGGAGAGCAACCCAATAGTCTTCCTTTATTTTTGAGTCAGAGTGGTTTGCCGCCAACTATTCTGAATAACTTACTGTTTGTACCTATCTTGTTCTATATATATTTTTAAGCTGAGATGAGAAAAATAGAGAAATTGAATTATTTAAGTAAATAGAAAAAGAATTGTAGCAAAATTGCAGCATGTTTATATGCTTCTTGTTGACATTAGCTCACACTTGACAGTGAAATTGAATATACTTCCAAGAAAAATTAGTGCCATGTTAAATTCTTCCATATACTGTGGCAATGCCCCTACTGGTAAAATAAACATGCCTGGGACAGTTGTGTGGCATGAATTGGCCTATGTCCGTATTATTAAACCCTCATATTCTGCCAAACACAGTGGCTGCATCCACACTGCTAATTGGGAATGGCCTCTGTTCTGCGTTTATAACACCTTAACCGTTCTCAGGAATTATTTATCTGAGAAAGCCGTTTGGCGTGGCCAGAACCATGCGAGGGACAGTGCTAACAATTTGACAGCACAGATGACCAAATTTCAGACTTGAAGCATTCGCAGTCTCCTTTTATTGGTGTAGCTGTAGCCTGTGGAAACAGAAAAATTGGTTTGTTGAGGAAGGTGGTAAGAGATTTACTAAAACAGGTGATGGCACTAAAAAAAGGAAGAGAGTGAGTGACTCAGGAAATGTGCTTATAGTCGTAATACCAACATTGCAATGGAATTTTTGAAATGGCTGGTAAAAGACTTTTTTTTTCTAGATGAGATTGTACTTAAAACCACAGAAAAATCAGTGACAGTGAGTATCTGTAGTTCTGTGAAGTTCTGGACGTGTTTCTGAAAAATCATACATCATATTAATTTCACTAGGCTTGTTCACGCTATATAAAATCAAGTATATATGTCAGTCTGGATCCTGTAGGATAACTAACTACATTTTTTAACACCTTGGGAAGGAGTGAGTAAATGGGAAGAAAACATGTGAACGTGATTGTGATTTCCTGAAAGGTGGGGTCTGAAGGGTGTATATAATGTTATAAATGAAACTGGTTTGTATTTCGCTGCTGTCACTTGTTCACAACTTTACCATAACTTTGCTGTAACTTTACCAAGTGAGTAACCTTTTGGATTAAATTCTCCATGCCAGGTTTCTGCCTTAAGTAGTTTGGCAATGGGGGAGGAGGGAAAACAAATCCATGTATTTGTTTCTGAGAACATAGTCAGGAAATAATGTGTTGTTCAAGTGATAGTAATTTCTTTTAATAAAAAATATATAGTTTAAGTGATAGTGATTGACAGCTTAGTGATAATTTCTTTTCAAAGCAGTAATATATGTTAGAACAATAACTTGAGATTTTTTGTGGGGTGATCTTTGTTTGGACTGTACATTTTGCTGTGCCTCTAAAAATCTGCCGTGTTTTGGCCAAGAGGTACGATTCTGAAAACAAAGTGGTTTGCAGGTGGATACCGGTTAAACTCTACCAGCTGGAGATTGCTAAAGATTAACCCAACACTGGCACGCTCCTGTGCTAGAAATTACCAGAGCTCATTCTTGGAGTTGCTAATTCGATTGGTCGTGAATCTGAGAATGAAAACGGGGGTTTTTTTGGTGTTCCCGCAGCCTCACCCTCTTACTTTCCCTTAGTTGTGTGCGGGAGGAAACTCTTCCTGGCTCATGTAAACACAGGATAAAGAACAGGGAAGAAATACCTCAGACAGAAGTGCAGAAATGGTAGCTAACCATGGGACCAGGGAGAAAAACTGGGACAGCGTAAGACCTAGGGCTGCTGGGAGTAATGATGGGAGATGATTGTTTGACTCTTTTCTGGTAAGGATGTAATGAGGACACAATAAGGATATGAACTGCAATATTCACAAAATGAAAGGTGTATTAGTACAATATTTGCCTGAAGCAGTAGCTTCTGAATGAGATGACCTATTTTTTCAGTCACAGCATGTTATTTACTCTTTGCTATTTCATATTTGTATAATTCATGACATTACCTAGATGCCATCTGATTCAGCATTTTTTTGCCTTGGAATTGGCCAGTTTGCAGCAGCCCTGTACTGTAGTGGCCAGGAGCAGCTTTCTGTTTTTCAGCTTCACCCACACAGAACATCTAATTGAGTTACTTTGCACTGTAGCCAGAGTACAGAGGAGTCAGTATTAGCTTGCTCTTGGGTGAGATGATGGGGGACCAGGGAGCCCCGACTGTTGATTGCCCTGGAGAGGTGTACGGCCTCCAGGGATCAGTGCGTACGTCTCTCCATGTGCATGGCCCGTACCTAGCAGTGGCCATAGAGCTAGCTAAGGGCAGCTAGTGAAGAATAATGCAGAACAGGGCAGGTTTCGGAGGTGCCGAGAGGAAAGCATCATAATAATTGCTTTGCCATGCAAGCTGTTTCATTCAGATAGAGACAGTCTTGGTAGCTAGGTTGTTCCCTTCTTGCTCTAACCAGAAGTTGCACAACTGCTCATGGAAGCAACATTTGCCGTAATCCACCAAGAGGGATTTCTTGGTTGGAAAGGTAGAGTTTTTGGTCTGTAGTTGGCTTATGTTAAAATTGTGTTAAAAATTATATCTTCAGGGCAGCACTCCAGTTAACACCACCAGCATCAATGAGTGTGGAGCAGTGAGGCGTACCATTCTTCAGAGTCTTGAGGAAGGCGTCCAGAAATGAAGGGATGCAGTTAATAAATACCCACTAAAGGGTGGCGTAAAAGCTACAGCCTTGCTTGAGAGGAGCAAACAGGTGGTTAATGGAAAAAGGTACTCTTGATGGGAGGGGGGAGCTGACCTGCCAGTACAGAATGGGAAGCGATTAGCAGGGCATATTAGCAGTACGGAAATGGTTTTGTTGCACTTTGAAGGCAAAAATAAGCTTTTGATGTGTGTCAGGTAGTAATTAGGGAGAGACGATGGAGGGGATGGGCATAACTGTTACGCTGCTTGGTTTTTTTTTGGAAGAATATTACTTTGTACAGCTAAATAGATTCTTTGCTAAGTATTGTCCATATATGTAAAGCCCCCCTCATTTAGGGATGTGTAAACACCCTAACAAGAAGCTTCAGAAGGCATTGGGTGCTACAGTGAAAATCGGAGATGTGGTCGGTTATTGCACTGTGTAGGACTTACCAGTGTGAGAGATGATCTTGGAAATCACTGCGTTTTGCAGAACCTGGTCAGTGAGGAGGGGTGGCCAGTTACTGGTTGATCCCGCTGAAAATCTTATACATATTTAGACAAAGGATAATTATGCTATATCCAGCTAGATAGTGTTACCATGGTGTCAGGGAAGGGGTGAAATAGCTTCCACTTAGTTCAGCCACGTGTTGGTCAGCTGAAGTCTTTATTGGCCCAGCAGCTCACTTGAGTCAAGCATTCCTGTTTTGCAGGCAGAAGGGGAGATCGTTGTAAGGATAGTTTTCTGTGGCCAGAAGAAAATGCAGAAAATATTAGCACTCAGGATGAAATGAGTCGTTAGGTTCGTTTTGATTTAGCACTTTGTTCAAAGCATTGTCAGAGAAACTCGTGCATGGCCAGAGTTGAATTATAGGCAATACAAACCGCAGCGTTTCTGTGGCGGCACTCGGTGACCACATGGAAATACCAGGGTGCTTTACTGAGTTGAATTTTGTATTTTGAATGTAAAGATCTGATGCAGTCTAGAAGTATTTGGTTTGGACACTTCTTGAGATTTTCAGGTTGCTGGTAGCAATGTGAATGATCTGTTCAGTCAACATAATAAAATTTGCATATCAGAAATATTTGCATATCAGCCTTTAATTGTAAAAAGAGTTCTTTAAACTGGTAACTGTGTTTCCTCTAGAACAACACTTTTATGAAAGCAAGAAGTGGTGGCAATGTTTAGTACAGATTTGTCTTTGATTACAGAATATTTTTAATTAAAAATTTCTGCATCTCTAGAGAGTATAAGTCCTGGCAGATTCGATATTTGGATTAGTAATTAACAGAATTATTAGAAACAAGTAACTATGGATAAAACCTTCAAATAAACAATTGGTAACTACCAGAAGGTATTCAGCAGTATTGAAGGCTTCAGAACTGCTGTGTATTGACAAAAAATATAAGGTATGAGCATTTATGAGAAGTAATAACATCTGAGTAAAAAAATAGTCCCTAAATGCCAGGTTCTTTAAAAAGTCCACACTCAGTGAAGTGTTCTTAAAATTTTAAAGTTTTAGGGTTTTTTTTAAAATAATTTTCTTGCTGTAAGAACTATAAATATTCAGAAGTTTATTGATTTATGAGAAAGAATAAAAATATGACAAATCTGAATTTGAAATCTGTCACCCGAGATGGTTTTAGATTGTCAGAACACCAGCAATAGTTTAGTTCAAATACTTGCATAATAATTTACATTTTTAGATCTTTTACATACATTGTAGCCATAATGAATGTGTTACAGTACTTACGTGAGCTGTCAGCGTCAGCAGCTTAAATGGTTTTCTCTAAAATACTTTTTGTAAAATTAACTTTCAACCATGTAAGCCAAACATCCCTAGAGGTAAAAGGATAATTTTGTAGAATCTGGTCCTGTTTATTTTAGAGGCTACTTTTAAGCAAAAATCACTAATTATGTCAAATTGCTTAGAGCAGCAACATTATTTACTTATGATGAAGCCAATATCTCTCACCTCATTTCATGAATATTGATTTAAACCTTAGGTTCCAGAGATAGTCCAAACAATTAATCTACTAAATCACTGTTTGAAGAAACTATAAAATCAATATATAATGAAATTTGACCTTGAGTACACCTTTTCAGAGGAAGTGGCTACCATAAATCCATCGTCATAGCATTGCTTCTCAACTATTTGAGAGTGCAACTTTCAATATGACAGTTTCTGAAGACTTACATCTTTAAGAAATCAGTACCCTATACTTGTTGTTTTTTTTTTTTCTTTTAATGTTGTTCCTGTAGAGTTCTTGGTTTTGAAAGCACATTCTGTGGATTGGATGGCCTTTCACTCCAAAAGAGGGAATAAAATGCATGCTGTTAGCCTCTGTTAGATGAAAGCAATTGTCATGGTACTAAAGGAAGGTAGAGGTTTTGGCATGCTGCCCTAAACTTTGTTGGTGATAAGCAACAATCCTTTAAAAACAAAAAAAAAGTGCTGTAAGACATGGCATCCTTGCCTTTGTTGCTTTCAGTTTTAATTTTGTTTCCCATAACTGTGCCAAAGTTAAAGGATGTTGTGTGAAACACTTTTTACCTTTGGCTGGGGACCATTGTTGTGGTGGGAAGATACATAAAGGTGACACAAAAGGAGAAGTTAAGGTGTCTGAGTCTTACTGCAGTCTTCATCAGAGCACAGACATTTGTATAAGGTTTCATTCTAAAGAGAGTTCCCAAATCAGAAAGGGACAAAGAGGATAAAAGATTGTCTAAGAGCAAACTTATGTTTTGTATTTCCGATGTGGAATATAAATTATTTGGCAATAGCACAATTATTTTTAAAGATCATAGAACGATACAGTGGTTTGGGTTGGAAGGGGCTTTTAAGACCATCTGGTCCAACCCCCCTGCCATGGGCAGCTACACCTTCCTCTAGCCCAGGTTGCTCAAAGCCCCATCCAGCCTGGCCTTGAACACTGCCAGGGAGGGGGCAGCCACAGCTTCTCTGGGCAACCTGTGCCAGTGTCTTGCCACCTTCATAGTAAAAAATTTCTTTCCTATGTCCAGTTTAAACTTACCCTCTTTCAATTTAAAAGCATTGCCCCTTGTCCTGTCACTACAAGCCTTAGTAAAAAGTCTGTCTTATATAAGCCTATATGTTCTATATAGCCTTATATGTTCTAGGAAGCCCCTTTTACATAGTGTAAGGCTGCAGTGAGGTCTCCCTGGAGCCTGTTCTTCTCCAGGCTGAACTCTCTCAGCCTTTCCTCATAGGAGAGGTGTTTCCAGCCCTCTGACCATTTGAGTGGCCCTTGTCTGGACTTGCTCTAACAGGTTAGGGTTCCACAGGTATTTTTACTACATGGCTGTCCCTTAGTTTTGCATGCATTTATTAATGGTAAATAATGTCAATACTGTCTCTCAAGGTTTGCTGTCCTTGAGTCCCATAGAGTGAACGTTGCCCAGGAGTATGGCCTATTTTGTGTTTGGTGACAAAGAGAAGTCAACAAGGAAGAATTCTCTGACCACATGAATGTCATTGCTCTGGGTGTATTCAGTCATTGGATTCTTTGAGGTCATCACTAGCATACTAGGAATTTGAAGCAAAGTAATAAAACTTTGAAATATGTAAAGCTGATTAATGTGCTGAACATTTCTAGTAGAAATTTTAAAGAGCAATAAAGGTTTCCTGAGGAATTCTTCTCGTTGTTCTTAGCTGCAAAACAGGATTTTTTGTTATTTGGTACGCGGACATTGTGTTACAGTCAGCCGAAACTGAAAAGGTGATTTTTCCTCAAGCCTCTTCTGTTCTACCCTCAGAAATTCCTGTTTCAGTACTCTTTCAGAGGTGACTGAATTGGAAGATCTACTGTTGATACAGACTTTTTTGTTCGTTTTATTTTAAAGAACAATGGCAGTAATTTTAATGGCATAATAATTTATGCAGAAGTTGCTAGTTTCCTAGAAAAATCACTTTTACCTGACTTAATTGAACGCAAAACCTTTTCTCTTCCATAGCACTACAAAATCCTAACATGAAATAACTCTTTTTTTTCTGAAAATGAGAAGTAACTTCAGATTTCTTGTTGTATTTTAGGAAGCTGAGTAACTTACGATCTTTATTGCGGTGGCCTCTAAGATTATGAAAAGAATTAAGGAAATGTGTAGGCTGTTGATAAAGTTTTTTATTGGTTACAAAGCATATTAAGAAATTAAGGAATTAAACTTTACATAAAAATACCTCAGAAGTCATGGTGTATATATTTTGTCTTGTTATTTAAACATTAAAAAGAATGTTCTAATATTGTCTGGTATTGTAAATGAATTCTTTGATGGCTTCAGCCCATGTTCCAGGAATTGCAGCTTCTACTTCTATTGTTTTACTACTCTTTTTCCTATTAATGTCTCTATATTCTTTATGTCAACTGGCAATAGCAGAGATTGATTTATTTTAATGATGAAAAGGTTTACATCTGATGATATGCAGTGGTTTTGCAAAACTTCCTCTCTGCTAATGGAAGAATTACTCTGGTCTCTGTCCCGTGGCAAGTGCTGTCTGGATAGTTTCCTGTTGAAGTTGGTGGAGCCTCATGCAGGTGCCAAATCTGCCCTGATGGTTCTCCTAACTGTGTTTGTAACTGTATGGAAATGGTAAGCGTAAATGTAGACAGTGGCGTTATGTAATGAATACAATTTTCTTTGTAAATAATACCAGATACCTTGTTGTCCTATACAACCGGTACTGCTTATCCCCTATTCCTTTTTCCTCCTCCTGCCCTTTGTTTTGCTGACCACCAAGTGATTTATGCCACAGAAGTATCGGGAGGCTGCAGTATTTCTTTGTTGTTAAAACTGATGCTGAAACCCTGGTTATCTGCAGTTCAGTAAAATACATTGTACAAAATACATTGCCTTTTACCTCTCTAATTTTGCACTGGAAATGCCTATGACTCAGCTTCTTTACTGTCAATTTCGGAAAACTGAAGTGGTTATTTACTGAAGATTCACGTTTTATGTACAGCCAGTTGGTAAAAAGTATTTTTCCTCTATTTTAGTATCAAAGGTGCAGGCTCTGGGACAGATTGCATGAAGAGCACATTAATGCAGGACGAACGGTTCAGGTAAGGATATTAAAATGACTGTGATATTAATGGAATTAAATTACATATGTAGTACTGGTTACCTCAGGGATGGATCTTCACAGAGACGTATATTTGACAGGTGGATTCGACAAATACATGGTATTGCTTTACTTCATTTAAAAGGTAGGGATTTCCTAATTGTGTCCTATGAGGCAAATACAGTCAGAAATGTTTCAGGATTCTTGAACAAATGGGTTTGGAGACTCTAGCCTTTTGCAAACTGTCCTCTTACATTGCTAAATTAGAAGCCATGAATTGCAACAAGGGATACTGTTAATTTTAAAGCATGGTTTCAGACCAAACACAGAGCATCTGGACTACTAGTTTGGTGTGCACGTGTCTTGTTAGATGCATCATATCATCAAAGGAGGAAATACCAGACGCGTTTGTTAGCATGGCATCATGTCAGTGACCTCATGCGTAGTCACCCATAACTCAGCACATGGGGAATCTCACGTCTATTCACAAAAAAATGCATGTCTTGATGAAAATGATGCAAAAGCTAATGCCAAACATCAGCCTTCACACTGCGAAACAGCACACAGCCAGAGAAGATGATCAATAAACACAAAGACCAGATCTGCACTGCAGAGTCTGCTGACACAAGCGTAGCAGCTAGTGGTTATAACCTGCTGTACTGGCAAAATTCTGGGGGCAGACATATCATTGCCAGCGGGAGAGGCATCTTGTGTTGGTTTCACAGATGTTGTTCAGAGGAGGGACGTGACTTTGTTACTAGAACGAACCTTTTGTGAGCTACGCTGAATCTAGACAAGCAGGCTTTGCCAGCAGGGGTAGCACAGTGCTAAACTACTGTATTTCTTAATTCTAATACTGTAAGTTCCCGTGTTTGTTGCAATGCCTTACTGACTCCTGTGGGAAATTAGACCAGGCTAAAAATGAAAAAAAAAAAAACTCAGAAAGAAGAACTTAATCCTAATTGAACAAGAATATTAGACAGTAGGCAGAGCTGGAGTTACGTATCTTTTTGAGGAGTGGAAGGTGTTAATGGGCTTTTTTAGTGTGGATGATAAGGTATGTATGAAATCCACCTGATTTTTCTGTTATTTGGAGTTTTGAATGTGTATTTTGATTTTTCACCAAGTGTTTTTGAAATTGGAATAGAAGTTTATTCTTAATATTGAAAGAGTCTTCCAAAGGTGGTAGTCCTATTAAAACAATGGCATCCTAACAGATGTGGTGTAGTAAGCATGTGTTTGCTTATGTTTGTGCTCTAATCTATTTTCACATCTGAGGAGTAGGAAAGGCTTCTCTTGGAACTCCTTTATTATCAGTACAATTTGTTTAGTAAGACAAAATCTATCAATAATTGGAGAAAAAGTAATCATGTTGAAGATGTTTTTAAATATGTTAAGTGTTTTAGTAATAAAACCTCCTATTTGTCTCTAGAAACATTTATATTTGTCTGGAACCTGAAGCCTGCCATCTTCACTTTCAGCCAAAATAAATTTCTTATATTTTATTTCATGCTTACTGCTTTTAGATCTGGACACAAGTTATGCATGAAAGTGGTACACATTTGGATATTCAGAGAGCAGAATAAGTATCTGGGTCCACGCAAGAAAAGTAGACTAGCTCTTTGTTTTAATTAAATAGTTAGGAGTCTGGAGTACTGGATAATAAATTATATGACATGTAGAATGTGTTTGCTGTAAGCTGTTTAAATGTTTACCAACGGACTTGTGATCTGTTTGTTTGCGAAGAAATCAGATTAATTATTGTGATACCAAATGTTCTCTTCAGCACACACTTTGCTCTCAAAATTAGATGTTGTAAAAATACATTAGGAATCCCTAAGTCAATATTGACCCAAGGCATCCGCCACAGGTTTTAGACAATTATATGCACAGCCACTCTGCATTTAATCCATGTGCACATAATTAGCCATTTTTCTGAATTTTCAGTTTACCCAGAATAATTACTTCTGTTGTACTTTTGATGATGGTCAAAATTAGAATAGAAGTATAGATGAGCATAACATATACCTCTTCTTTCTGGTGACTGGATACCACATAAAAAATCTTCTAAAAAGGAAAGTGAAGAAACTGGGGAAATCTTCGTACAGGGCATTCAAAAATACTGAGAAAAAAGCTCTTGTATGCTGTGTATTAGTTTTCATGAATGTGCTCTTGTAGATTTTAATTTTTAGGTATGATCTGTGGACTAAAGTATGAGGGCCTGAATAAATATGTGGTTTTGCTAGGCTTTACTCACATATATGCTGACTGTACCACACAGTTAATTATCGCAAGATTTAAGTTACTGTCAATGGAATGGCAGTATTTTGTTGTAACACCTAAGGACTGCCTTGATCATAACGAGAGGCAGAAAAATGCTGCAGTTACTAGAGAGGATATAAAGCATTGAACAAAAAAAGAAAAAATACTGTTGATGAATTATCTGGCTTTAGTCTATATTCAGCCCACAAAAAGAGATTTTGTTCTGCAAAACATACCTAGGCAGACGTAGTCTCTCCACTGTGTTGCTCTAATATGGAAAGCTACTTGAAAGATGTTAATCTATTTTTTTTTCTTCTTCATTTTTATGATTTCCATTTCAACTGGAAATGGTTTACAAGTAAAAGATGGTTTTCAGTCAGCTCTCTTTTGCATAAATCTCCAAAGCTTAGTTGTATGGCTCATGTCTTCTGTACCATCTTTAAAATTATGCAGTCTTCAGATTAAATGTCTTTCTGGAGTACTACACTATGTGCTAGGAGAGCATGAGAAGCAGGGTAGATGAGTGTCTGTATTGCTTCAGGAGATTGTTTGTGGTATCCGTGCAGGGTCATGTAAAACCAGCTGACTATTGCAGCCCGTGGCATCTGTAGGGTAAATATATCCTTAAACTCTGATTTTCTTTGACCTATGCCAAGAAATTTGTCACATATATCCTTTATTACATTGTTTTGAACAAAGTCCAGAGAAGACAGGTGAGGGTAAGATTACATTTGCACAGCTAAGCTACTGCAATATTTTCTTAAAAATCATATTTATGTTCGAGAGAGTTTAAGGTGGTGGGTTTGTTTGGAGGCACTGTTTACTTCTTAAATTAAAACAACAACATGCAGAATGAAGGGAGAGTTGACGGTCATTAATGCACAGAAGACAGGAGATAAAGAGAAAAAGGGACTGATGCGCTGGACAAGACAGATCCTGTGTCAGCCATGTACTATTTCAACATAAAGAGTCTGAAGTGTAAACTATCAGAAAATGTATGTGACATTACATTTAATGATAATACAACCAAGAAGACGAGAAAGAGAATGATGGTGGCAGAGATTAAGTATAATAATGGCATGACCACCATGATTCAGTTAGCTGGTGTAGGCTGATGGGGACAGAGTAAGTGACGTGCGGGAGTTCCTGAGCGCTCAGGGAACATCGGCCTTGCCAAGGCTGCGGGGCTGAAGCGGATGCTTACACTGCGATTTTCAGGTAGCTGTTTCTGGGGGCCTTAGACAGAACTTCAGGTTATTTCTGTAGCTGGTAGAGATATGTTAGATGGAAATAATGCTACAGCTCAAGTCACTGCTGCCTTTTCAAGGGTTTTGGTGCCATCTCAGCCCATTGACATTCGTACAAGGTGGAGCCATGCGGACCTGGTGTTTATCCTGGTGCCCAGGGGCCTCACGCTGAGTCAGCACTGAAGCACTGAGGTGTCCTTACGCTCTTGTTACTACCTCTTTTCCTTCTGCTGTTACGTGTCCCTAATCAACAGCGTGCCATGGCAGGGTAGCCCAGGTCCCTGCCATGGGCACGGTACTGGGGGTTGCTGCATGCGTTTGCCTGCTGTTGAACAGGAAGTTCATTATTTCCTTCCTTGTTGTCATCCACTGCTTTTTCTCAATTGTAATGAAGTTGGTTGCACAGAAGAGGCAGGTTTTGCTGGTATAACACTGGTGGTGGTGTTCCCGAGTGTTAAGTATTTGAGCGTGGAGTGATGATGATATTTTAAGGCGGCCTACAGTAAGCCCATGGAAATACAGCATGTGTTTTTCATCAGGTTTGAAAATTCAGCTGTCACCATTAGTGATGAAAAATTACTGCTCTGAAAAACAAATACTGAAAAAAAATGAAGAATTTTTACTCTTTTCTGTAAATAAGGTTTATTGGTTTTCTGAAAATTCCTGTTAAGACTTCTGAATTCCTTAGGGAGTATATCGCTTTTCTCATGTCCAAGACATCTGTAGAGGAACTCCTGTTCGTAAACCACTTAGGGGGAGCAGAACATGGGAAGATACTTTGTGGTTTTAAAGATAATTCTAAAACTCGAATACCTATGATAATTCCTTCACTTATTGAAAATTGTGTGCTGGGTAATAAGGTAAGCTTAGTGGGCAGATGCGTACAGTCATTTTCAGCAACAGTGATTTAAAAAAGACAACTTTCACTGAAACCCTCCTTTGGCTCATTTGTCTCTTTTTGTATTTTACTTTCTCATATAAATTTGTAATTTATTCTTTTTTTTTATTGAATGTGTTTGTAAAGATTTTGAACAGAATGGAAAAACAGTGCAACTTCATTATGTATGACTTCTCTGTTTCTTCCCATTTTGGATGTGTTGATAGAGTCAATAGATTTTTCACAGTACTTGTGAAAACCATGCCACTTCTCATTTACTTTTCTGAAAAAAATCCATTATATTTGTTCATATAATATAGTGAATCCACCATCTTGTTGGATCTCCCAGACCTACCTCCAAATTTGTGGATGCTTTAGAAAAATTAGGCTCAGACTTTGTGTCCCTACCTCCGTTCTGCATCCATTCAAGAAGAACAGTGAACCTTACTCAGATAAAGTCCTTTGAGACCTAGGGATGAAACCACTATATAATAGCTATGTAACATTTGGAAAAGAGGAAACGGCCTCAAGTTGCGTCAGGGGAGGTTTAGATTGGATATTAGGAAAGATTTCGTTACTGAGAGAGTGGTCAGGCATTGGAACAGGCTGCCCAGG